AGTACTCACAAATTTGCTGCTTCCAAAGAAGGAGTACACCCCATCTTACCAGTTACATGTCAGATCACCATCCCACTTAACACACAGCACATAGATATGTTTATAATGAAAACAAGTACAAGTTCATTTAACAAAGTATAGAGATGCAAGTGATAGCAATTAGAAATACTGGAAACAAATGGATACAAATAAAAGAAAATTATAACACATCCTAGAACCTAGACTTACTTCACGAGATACTCTCATGTCTTAAAGAGCAATGCTCACCCAAAGTCCTTCCAGCCTTTTACACCAGGCTCGGCTGTGAGCCTCTGTTCATAAGACAAACCCCCTGCCCGAGCCCTGATCACCCTCCCGCCCGCCGAACCCCTCGATCCCAGCCCAGAGCACCCTCCTGCACCCACGGAGTTGGCGCCTCTGCAAAAAATGCCACTATGGCTAAATAGCAGAGTAAAAGAGGCAGTTAGAGGCAAAAAAGGCATCCTTTAAAAAATGGAAGTCAAATACTTCTGAGGCAAATAGAAGGGAGCATAAACTCTGGCAAGTCAAGTGTAAAAGTAAAATTAGTCAGGCCAAAAAGGAATCTGAGGAGCAACTAGAAAAAGACACAAAAATTAACAGCAATTTTTTTAAAGTACATCAGAAGCAGAAAGCCTGCCAAACAATCAGTGGGGCCACTGAACAATCACGATGCTAAAGGAGCACTCAAAGAAGACAAGGCCATTGCAGAGAAACTAAATAAGTTCTTTGCATCTGTCTTCACTGCAGAGGAGATGAGGGAGATTCCCACACCTCAGCCGTTCTTTTTAGGTGACAAATCTGAGGAACTGTCCCAGATTGTGGTGTCAATATAGGAGGTTTTGGAACAAATTAATAAATTAACAGTAATAAATCATCAGGACTAGATGGCATTCACCCAAGAATTCTGAAGGAACTCAGATATGAAATTGCAGAACTACAGAGTGTGGTATGTAATCTATTGCTTAAATCAACCAGTGTACCAGATGAATGGAGGATAGAGAATGTAATGCCAATTTTTAAAAAAGGCTCCAGAGGGAATTCAGGCAATTACAGGCCGGTTAGCCTAACTTCAGTACCAGGCAAACAAGTCAAAATTATAGTAAAGAACAAAATTAACAGACATATAGATTAACATGATATTTTGGGGAAGAGTTAACATGGCTTTTGTAAAGGGAAATCATGCATCGCCAATCTATTAGAATTATTTGAGGGGGTCAACAAGCATGTGGACAAGGGTGATCCAGTTAATATAGTGTACTTGGACTTTCAGAAAGCCTTTGGCAACATCCCACACTTTCAAGCAAAATAAATAGTCATGGGATAAGAGGGAAGGTCCTTTCATGGATCAGTAGCTGGCTAAAAGATGGGAAATTAAGGATAGAAATAAATGGTCAGTTTTCACAAAGGAAAGAGGTAAATAGCAGGGTCCCCCAGGGATTGGTACTGGGACCTTTGCTTTTCAACATATTCATAAACTATCTGGGAAAGGTGGTAAACAGCGAGATGAAAAGTTGCAGATGACACAAAAATTCTCAAAATAGTTAAGACTGCAAAGAGTCATAAAGGGATCTCATAAATCTGGGTGACGGTAACAAAATGGCAGCTGAAATTCAATGTTGATAAATGCAAAGTAATGCACATTGAAAAAAATAATCCCAATTATATATACGAAATGATGATATATACTAAATTAGCTGTTACCATTAAAGAAAACTATCCATAATGACTCCAAGATTTCTATCTGAAAACATCTGCTCAATGTGTAGCAGTCAGAAAAGCTAACAGAATGTTAGAAACCAGTAGAAAAGGGATAGATAATAAAACATAAAATATCATCATGCTATGGTATCAACAAATCCATGGTATGCCCAAACCTTGAATACTATGTACAGCGCTGGTCATTCCATCTCAAAAAAGACAGATTAGAAATGGAAAAGCTTCAGAGAAGGGCAACAAAAATGATTAGAGGTATGGAACATTTTCCATAGGAGGACAGATTTCAAAGGGGACTGTTCAGCTTAGAAAAGAGACAACTAAGGGGGGATATGAAAAGAGGTCTAAAAATGGTGTGAAGAAAAAGTGAATAAGGAAGTGTTATTTACCCCTTTCATAACACAAAAACTAGGGGTCACCAAATCTAATTAATAGGTAGCAGGTTTATAACAAACATAAGGAAATACTTCTTCACACAATGCACAGTCAATCTGTGGAACTCCTTGTCTGGAGATGTGATGAAGGCCAAAAGTATAACTGGGTTAAAAAATAATTAGATAAGTTCATAGATGATAGGTCCAGCAATGGCTATTAGCCAAGATGGTCAGGGATGCAACCCTATGCTATGGTGCTCCTAAACCTCTGGGTGCCAGACGCTGGGACTGGACAACAGGGTATGGATTGCTCAATAATTGCCCTTTTCTGTTCATTTCCTCTGAAGCATCTGGGACTGGCCACTGTTGCGAGACAGGATACTGAGCTAGATGAACCATTAGCCTGATCCATTATGGCCATTCTTATGTTCTTATAATGTGAGTAAGATTTCATTTCTACAATGTGACATTCTACAAGTTAGAGCATGCTAATAGTAAGGCTTGAGACTAAATTCTTTTTTTTTTTTAAGAAAAAGAATATGGGCCTGGATGCAGAAAAGGGGTTAGGGGCTGTGATGTTCAGTGTCACAACTTTCAAGCACCTAGAAAAATCACTGCAATTCACAAATCCTGAGTTAGGCACCTAGGCTCCCAATATAATGAACAGGGACACAGAGATGCCTAAATGTATGTCTACACTGCAAATAAAAACCTGGGGCTGTCCCATGCCAGCTGACTCGGGCTCCCGGGGCAGAGGCAGTTTAATTGCTAGAACCTGAGTTCTCGGACCTCCCACCTCAGGGTCCCAAAGCTCAGGCTCCAGCCTAAGCCCGGAAGTCTACAATTCAATTAAACAGCCCCTCAGCCTGTGCCCCATGATTCTGAATCAATTGGCATGGGCCAGGCGTGGGTGTTTAAATGTGTGAAGACATAGCCTTAGACTGCGATTCACAAAAATCAGCATGCTGGACAGGGAGCCACCTACTCTAGCCAATGGAAGATGCCGATTAGAGGGGTGTTTGCTGAACCCTACTCTCTCACGGAGATCGGTGCCTAAATCTAGTGCAGGGCGGTGCCTATCTCTGCTTGCGATTCTCAACTGTGACTACTTTTCTGGAGTTATGTGCCTATGCTGATGAAGCTGTTGCACTCTGGATAAAGTCACTGAGTAGCCACACTGGATCTGAAGTCTTCCACATCTCGGATGAGTGCTCTAATCACAAAGCTATAGAATCATTCTCATGCTTGTGCTTGCTGTCTCTCTGTCCCAACTTATTCTTTAATTATTTATCCGAAGTGCAACAGCTTCAACAGGAGAGATTGAGGGAGCCCCACATCAGAGTATCCCATAGCTGAATGGTTAAAAATCCCTGCTCAAATTTCTTCTCACCAGCAGGAGGCGCAGCATTTGAATACCCTAACCATTGGAGTAAAAATTCTGAGGGTGGTCCTCCTCCGCCATTCCCCAAGCTATTTTGTGTGAACTCATCTGCGGGACGTGATCTGGTAGGCATGCTCAGAGGTTGTCTACTGGATCAGACTTGCACCCAACTCTGACCTGGTCTACACTAGGAAATTAGGTTGGTATAATTGCGTCGCTCAAGGGTGTGAAAAGTCCACACCCTTGAATGATGCAGTTAAATCGACCTAGCTGCGCCCTCCCAAAGACAGCAGAAAGTCAATGGGAGAATTCTCCCATCAACCTAGCTACCGCTTCTCAGGGAGCTGGAGTACCTACATTGATGGGAGACCCCTTCCCTTCAGTGTAGGTAGTGTCTTCACTGAAGCGCTACAGCAGCGCTGCTGTAGCGCTTTAAGTGAAGACAAGCCCTTAGGCAACTGAATGCCTATCTTCCTCTGGGTTGCAAATCACGCTGGGGGTTAGGCAGGAGATAGGCATCCGGCAGTGGCCTATGGGAGGCAGCAGTGGGCATGCACAGAGGCAGAAACATAGGTGCCTGGGAAACTTTTACTGCAAAAATGTAGGTGCCTACAAGGTTTTGTGGGAGTTTTCTGCCTCACAGTGGTCCTGAAACTGGGACTTATGTGCCTAAAACAGGGACTTAGGCACCTAAATTATTTTGTTCATCCAGGCCTATGTTTCTACCATGATAGCAGTTGTTCTCTGAAAATAAAGAGTAAGTGCCTCTAAGAATGCATGAAGTTTACAGATTCATGTCCTGTTAGTGCCAACTTTTTAAGTAGTACAGTATTATACCACACCTGCATTGCTGAGCACAGGGAGACCAGGAGCACAGAGGCCAGTCTAATGCCAGAAGCACTGCTACTTTCACAACTGGTGCCTATACATTCATGGACTGCTGTGATAGTCACTGCTTCCTGGTCCTGCTGCTATTATAGTGGGAATCGTTTAATACTCTCCACAAGCAGAATGAAGAGTTCATTTAAAAAAAAATCATTGCTACATTGTCTTCTCTACCTTAAAAATCCCTAGGATTAATTTTTCAGTTACCTTCAAATGACTGCCAAACAAACCGTTTCCAGAGTCAGTAAGTAACTTTCAAAAACTGAATTACAGCTTTAAATTCTAAAATTGAGATTTGCATTTAATAAATAAGCAAAACCATAATTGTTCCTATAGTGCTTCTTCATCTGCACTGTAAACTTTACAATCATTTCCTTTGCAGAATCTAATTTCATGATACATGTAAAAATGCACTGGTTATGGTTATGATAGTGAAAAGGAAAAAAATCTACACACTAGCATTAACTGGAATCTTCTATAAAACTATTTTAAAATCATATCCTCCTCAACCCTCTTCCTACAACTTCAAAAACCACACATTTACACAATGAAAGAATTTCTTGCAATACCTTTTGTTTATACTGAAATAAAATGAGAATATCAAGGAAATACATTATTAACTTTACCTGTAATGCACTGAAACTGTCCATCTTCTCTTCTTATTGTAAAAGCCTCCCCTGGATTAACTTGCACCAGAATAACCTTAAAAATAAAAAGGTGTTTGAAACTGTTACATAGGAATGCGTCACATAACCCAGTGCACCCAACAGGCCATCTTTCTTCCATTTAATGTATACATTCCTTTCCAGAGCATGCTGCTTGCTACCTTCTTCCCGGACAGAAATGAATTAAGTTAACATAAAGGTACACACATGACTTAAATATAAATCTTTATGTAAAACATTTTGAAAGTTCAAAGATTAAACCAACAAATGGTTGAGGCAATAACTTTACATAATTTACTTTCTGGATTGCTGGTGAAATTTAAAGAGGTACTTCATGTTATATTATTCCAACTACAAATATGATCTATTAACTTGGACATTAATCAAAACATTATAGATAGCTTCATAAAGAAAGCTTATAATTCCTAATATTTGAATATTAATCATAACTGCTTGGCAAATAGCTCTCAGTATGAGGGAAATATTGTGCAATTTCTTTCCTCTCACAGCACTAGTATGTTTGTACTATCATTAATAGATAAAACATTACATAAATAATGACAGAGTAAGAGCATCAGATATGCAGCTTCAAAAACTGTATGTATATTTTTAATCATGGAAATCTGTTTATCCTCCTAACGTTGCAGAACCAACTTGCTTTTCTATCAATTGTACATTACTTGATAACTGAAATAAACAGAGGACGACTGATCTGTACCAAAACCAGAAATCTGCAACCTCTTCAGCCTTTTGCGTTTTAATTATTAGCCTGCCTTTCTGTGTGGGAAAGGGATTTATAATTACTAAAAGAAGCTAATTAAAATTAAAAACAAACAAAAAAAGAACAGAGTGAGTATCCTCCACGATTCCCTATTTGGACAGAATCTTTGTCTTGTTCAGACATTTGGGTCTGTCCAAACATGGTATATGTCCTTTGTCCCATGTAAACTACAATGCAATATATCTTAATACAGATCATCCACCAGTGTCCTGGACATTAAAAATTAACATGCTAAGGAAAATAAATTGGCTTTGTGCTTTTTTATGGTTACTAAATAAAGGCAGGACAAAAATTTGAAGTGTTTCCCCCCCCCCCGCCTGTTTATTCACTTTAGGAATAATAAACCACGATTTCCTGTTTTGCTGGAGGACACCTTGGAGGACTAGAAACTGGAGAAATAACTTTCTCAGCCTTCCATTGAAGAGGCAACGGTACTGAAACTTTCACAAAGATCTTAACTCCCACCTATTTGCTGGGCATTTAAATTAAGGGGTGAATAAACTGAAATCCTTCCCTGCACAATTGCTAAAGGCTCACATTCTTGGTACTTAACAATTCATAATTCTGCCAGTTCTCAAGCAGGGCAGAGTATTCCAAATAAAATAAACAAAGTCTGACTTTCTAACTTAAACTAAGAAAAAAGTATTTAAAAACAATTAATAATCCTCCTCTTCCAAAAAACTCCAAAAAGAAAACACAATTCAGTCCACCTTTTTAATACCTCGTTGAGAAGAAAGAGGATGGGAAGGGACAAAAGCATTTCCTTTCCTGTTTTGCTGATTACCTTTACAAATTAAACAAACAAAATAAAATAAAATAAAAATAAAAATCAGTTTTTATCTCTATTTAATAGCAACTTGATGGGAGTTAGTAAATACTCAGCACTCAAAGTCAGGCCACTTATTTCAGTGCCTAAATACTGATTTGGCTTAACTTTAAGCATCCGTTTTTTTAAAAATCCAAGGTCATATTTTCACACACTGTACAACTCTCCATTTGTTACCGGTGTTACTTGCCTTTGAAACACTCCCAGACTGCTGGAACCAAATGGCTACATGTTAGTTTTTTTTTAAAAAGTGAATGCCATTTTATCAATGTGTAATACATTAAATCTATGAATGTTTTATATAAAATATACAAATGAAAACAGCACACCGTATTCTAGAACTTTTTTCATGAATGTCTCTGACATTTTATATTTGAGATGGAGAGCCAAATTCTGCTCTCAGTTAAGTTTATGGAATTATTTCAAATTTATATATATTCAAAAGAGCAGAATTTGGCCTGGAGTGTACAGGTCAGGCATCTAAGTGCCAATTCCACAGAACACCTTGTGTATGTTGCTACACTTGTACAAAAAAAGTGACAAGTAGAAGGAAATCCACTAAAGGGCTCATGGTGATCTACAACCACTGACATATGCAATCAGGGTAAATAATTATTCTCTCCATTAAATTTTTTGCATTGTTAGTTTATAGATTTTAAAATTGTAATTTCAGGGCTTTTCTAAAAACTGCCTAGACAGATGTTTATAAAGCATTTGAATTCCATGATTTATTTTATTTCATCCTAGTGAAGTCTTATCCCAGAGGTGGGTAAACTACGGCCTGCAGGCCACATCCGGCTCGCAGGACCCTCTTGCCCTGCCCCTGAGCTCCTGGCCCGGGAGGCTAGCCCCCGGCCCCTCCCCTACTGTTCCCCCTCCCCTGCAGCCTCAGCTCACTGTGCCGCCGGTGCAATGCTCTGGGTGGCGGGGCTGGGAGCTCTTGCCAGGCCGTAGCTCTGCAGCTGCACTGCTCGACCTGGTACTCTGTGCTGCGCGGTGGCGTGGCTGGCTCCTGTCCGGGTGCTTTGGGCGGCGCGGCTGAAGCACCACCAGCCGCTGGTGCTCCAAGCAGCGCAGTAAGGGGGCAGGTAGCGGGCGGTTGGATAGAGGGCAGGGGAGTTCGGGGTGGTGGTCAGGGAGCAGGGGTGTGGATAGGGGTCGGGGCAGTCAGAGGGCAGGGAACAGGGGGGTTGAATCGGGGCAGGAGTCCCGGGGGTGCAGTCAGGAAGGAGAGGAGGAGTTGGATGGGGCAGTGGGGGGCAGTCAGGGGTAGGGGTTCCGGGGGCAGTCAGGGGACAGGAAGAAGGGTGGTTGGATGGGGCAGGGGTCTCCAGGGGGCAGTCAGGAAGGCGGGGGGCAGTGAGGGGACAGGGAGGGAGGGATGGATGGGGCAGGGTCCCGGGGGGGCCATCAGGGGACAGGGAACGGGGGGTTGGATGGGGCAGGAGTCCCGGGGGGCCATCTGGGGGTGAGAAGCGGGGCGGGGTTAGATGGGGGGGGCCAAGCCACGCCAAGCCTGGCTGCTTGGGGAGGTACAGCCTCCCCTAACCGGCCCGCCATACATTTTTTGCCCACCCCATCTTAGTCTCTCTGCTTCATTCTCACTCCTGCCCCTTAACCTTTCCAGCTGCCTCTGACACTATTTTTCATTCTTTGTATAGCCCACTCACCCTCAGCTTTTGTGATAATACTATCTTTGCCTCGTTCTCCAATCTCCTGCTAACCCTGTGACCACTCTTTCAATGGCTGCTTTTCTGTCTCACTTTTCCAGTGTATAGGGATTACCAAAGAACTATGTTCTTGGGATACTTTTTTCTTTTACACTTTATCATTAGATAACCATATCTGCTCATTTGGATTTAACTACATCTCTATACAGATTACATTAAAAAGCACAAACCAAAAACTAAGTTAAAAGAAAGTTTGCAAGTCAAGAACTTGAGGTTGCAAGTTAAAATTGAGGTTGTAAGTCAAGAACTCAAAAGCTTGGAAAAGCCACATTTACAGTTGACTGTGCAACCTTAATTCTGCCCCTTTGTGTGCCAATATGCTCTGAGGGAGGAGTCTTATGGAAAAATAGCATGTTATCAAAGACCATCATAATGCAGAAGGAGGCTGAATTAAGGTTGCAAGGATGACAATAAATCTGGCATTTCCTAACTTCTGAGTATTTGATTTTGTAACCTAAGTAGCGTTCTTTTAACAGTTTTTTTTTAATGTAATACCCTATGGTTTTTTTCCCCTAAAAGGAGAAAGGTAAAAACAAATTCTATTATGTGCAACTATATCCCTCCTTCGCCCCCCTGCCCTGAACCCAGAACCTTCAGCATTACTGTATAGACTTCTGCTACTTGAGCTAAGGGACTAACAACATTAGTGGGTATCATGAGAAGATTGTTTTCTCAGATTGGGAAATGGGGTGCTGGATCTAGTTAGTGGTTGGGGTGGGGGAACTTAGACACATAGAATATCAGGGTTAGAAAGGACCTCAGGAGATCATCTAGTCCAACCCCCTGCTCAAAGCAGGGCCAATCCTCAACTATTTTTTTTTGCCCCAGATCCCTAAATGGCCCCCTCAAGGATTGAACTCACAATCCTGGGTTTAGCAGGCCAATGCTCAAACCACTGACCTATCCCTCCCCCCATGGTGGTTATGGTTTCACTTTCTCCTCTGCAAACAGAAATAAGGCCAGACATAGAAATGATATTTACATGCTAAAACTATTAGAAAAACTTTATTTACAAAGAGCCTACTGTCTTTTGAACTATCAGGTGAGCAAAAGAGACAATGTTCTTCTACATAGAGTAACTTCTACATATTATAAAATAGTTTTTTAAATAAAATTGTACACTTTTTGGTAACTGGGCTGGAGAAAGGGAATGGGGGGGGGGAATAAGAGAAAGGAGATGCTATGTCTAGGTGAGTTATTGTTTCTTGTTTCAAAAGTATCTATATTCAACTAGCAGACGGATCAAAGTCAGTAGGAGGATTTTCACCATAACCCAGAAAGGAGTGCTAAGTTTTTGCTACCAAACTCATGGAGAGACGCTTAAAGGAAGGGGGAGAAAGGAACAAGAGTTAAAATGGTATGGGTCTTCAAAAAGCATACTTGAACTGTTGCTGTCTAAAACTGGGCAAAAACTAAAGCAATGTAAACCGTACATTTCTTTAAATATCTTATCAAGATTAAAAGCTTTAGGAATGATTTTTTGTTTCAGTGAACTTTTATTTTAGATTTAACAAGCAACTATAAAAGCAGGGGAGTAGGGATGAAAAAGAGAACTTGCCTAGAATTGATTTCTACACCAGCATTTAGTAGGATTTTGATGATGTTCACATAACCACCAGAAGCAGCTAGACTTAGAGGTGTGTAATCAAAAACGTTCCTGTGCTCTTTGTTTGCCCCTCGAGCTAGCAGCAGCTCCACCA